TGTTGTGTGGTGTAACATTGTTTCTTGCTTTAGCCTGGTGTGCCATCTGTAAGTTCTGTCGGGTATCTAACCCTACAGCAGTTTCTGGGAGACAGAACTGCTTCACTAGTGGGTATATTATTCGCAGCGAAACAGTTAATTACTGCAGGAGAAAAATAATGCAGGATTGTATGAATCAACTGTAATTGTAGTTTTTAGATCATTAAAAAACTTTATTACTCAGCTGTGAGATCCGCCCAGTACAGCAGCTACAGCTCAGTTCCAGGGTCAGACTGTCTGGATCCTGGAAAAACTCTGGTCACTTCTTTGTCCCTGACTGGGGTGCAGTTTTCTATAATTAAAGCAGCAGAAATACAGCAGGCATGCGGCTCAGGTTTCACAGTTACTCAGCTTTAAGTCGGTGAGATTTTTATTAAGACAATATGGACAGTTTTATTACAGAGGCCATCTGGACGCGGTCCATGTGTTCGCTATTAACCAGGCATTATAAAATACATAATGCGGGCAAGTTCAGGTTTAAATTTTTGGTGTAGCAAAGAGCACCTCATTCTCTTATACAGTACGTGTGAAAATTCAGAGCTAGGGCACCGTGTGTAACAGGAGTTGGATAGTCTGGAGTGACGTTGGCGCATGTGACTGGTGTGTGTGGAAACAATGAGCTGAGCTGGGAGCGCTCCACAGCAGTGGCCTGTGCAGACCTGCTTGCGCGCTGATGCGGCTCTTGAGTTCATCTTCATCTGAAAGGCCTGCACTGAACCCTTCTGTTGCTGTAAACTAGGGAGCTCTCTTGCTTTCAAGCAAAGTCCGAGAGTCCAGCAGTCGCGCCGTCAGTGAGTCAGCATGGTGTGGCGGCCCTGGGAGGAGGGTGTCAGAGGTGGCTGGTCTAGCTGTCTTGCTGGGGTGCGGGGCAGGACAGTGCGAACCAGCGCGCATCACATCTGTGCACATCTGTGCCCTGTGGGAGTGGAGGAGGGGGCACAGACCAGGCGGTCTCGCAGGAAGCACATGGCAGGACCCCCGGAAGCCTTCAAGTGAAGAATCTGCTGGGGTGTGTGAGTTCAAGGAAGTGGGTGATGACTAGATTTCACACTGCAGACTCTCTCTGCGCTTCCTGCCTGCTCTGCCCTGACTTGTAGGGTAAAACCGGAAACGTGTCAAAACATCTTATTCAGTCGGCAGAGGTTTTTTTTGCCTTCCCCACTTCCGTATTTCAGTAATCGCATGCTGGCATCGGGTTTTGCAAGGGCGATGCGCCTGGCAGGGGCGCGAGACAGTGCGCCTGGGGTTTGCGAGAGAGTGTGCTGGGGGGGGGAACAGACAGAGATGGGCTGGATGGGCCTTCTCTCTGCTCTAGTACATGTGGTCAACTGTCCAGCATTGGTAGGGACACCAGTGTTCTGAATGAGCGGGTGATGAGGCCCGGGCTTGAACCTGTGACACTGGCTCCAGCGCTGCTTGTCCCTGTCCGGAGCACAGAGTCAGTCAAGTGATCGAGGAA